CTTCCTCCTGTGCTCGCGGGTGGCACCACGGTAACTCCGCCGCGCTCCCGCCACAGCCACGCCCAAGTTGTTTGGACGCCCTGAGAGCCGAGCTGTGGGTGGCTGAATTCCAGCGGCGCGAGCCAGGGGACAGAGCAGGATCAAGGGCAAGCGACAGCCCTTAAACGACAGTCGCCCTTCGAGCCTCCGCCCACCCTGCGGATCAGCGCCACGGGCCTTGTATTTCTCCGGGGAGACCCAAAGCACCACACGGGGCTGAAGCCAGACCGCTGCCATTGAAGGGCATGAAAACCTCATCTGGGGCACACGCGGCTTCCTCCCGGCTCTGTGCCACCTCAGCCCCTCCTTCCCAAGCGCTATGGGGAAGGAACCCTTGGATTTTGAGGGGAGCAGCCAGATCACTGATGCACCCATAAGTGGGGGTGTTGGCCCAAAAAATGGTATAAAAGGGGGCCATGTGGGGTGTTGAATAGAAGCTCACTGTCTGCTAATCCTATGTACGCCAGTCATGTGATTGTATAATGTCAGTGTGTGAAGTTATAAGCATGTACTTTGTGTGAATACTGAATATTTCTCTGCATGTGGTTGAGCATTGGGCAGAGCCCGGCCTATGGACATGCTAATTAGCGAGGCCCTGTGGGACAATGGCACTCAATGGGCCAAGGACACACCTCAAGAATGAGGGCTGACACCTAAGGGCTACCAGCAGGGAACACAGGGACAGGCCGCTGGCCAGGTGACCTGCTGCCGCCAAGAAGAGACCAGGAAGGACGTATAAAGATGCCATGTGGTCGACTCCATCTTGGGACTGAGCTCAGCACTTCATCCCAGAGGCAGCCGTGCAGGGATCGAAGAGCCAGGAAGAACTGGGGACCCATCCTGACCTAGGATGCGCAACAAGGACTTCTAAGCCAGCAGCTGTAAGATCTCTGCTAGAGCCTGCATCGAGAACTGGGAGATTCGATGCATGTAATGTGCTATCCTTTAACAACCTCATTCTCATGCTTTTCTTTCTTGTAGTAATAAACCTTTAGATGGCAGATTCTAAAGAATTGGCCCAGCATGATTTATGGGTAAGATCCGGAGGGTAAACTGACCAGGGATCTGTGGCTGGTTTCTTGGAACCGGACAGAACTTGTTCGGGATAGGTGAGTTTGGGTTCTAAGACCTCCCCCCCACCTGTGTATGAGGCCTGGGGCCATCTGGGGCACGGATATTGCTGGGGCGTCGGAGGGTTTTGCTGGTGAGGCTTCAGGCAGGCAGCTGAAGCGCTCTGTGGGACTGGTTTGTGACCTAGTTGGGAAGGTCTCCAGTCAGGGGGCTGTAAGGAGCCCCGAATTTGAGCAATTCACCCTGAGCGGACGCCCTCAGCTGTGCCCAGACCTGCCCCGGTTCCCAGGGGCGGCCCTAGACTAGCTGCCAGCAACTGGTGCCCTAGGCGACCGCCTAGTTCACCTATATGGACAGGCCGCCCCTGCTGGTCCGTCCCACCTTGCAGAAAATAATCAATGAATGGGGTGGGGGTGGGGGGGAAATCAGATCTAATTTAAATATGCAAATCACCGAACCCTTTTCTGACCTGGGCCAACAAACCCAGCAAAGTCATTGCGCCTGTGCCACTGTTATCCGCATGAACCAGCTCCCTGGACCACCTCCTGTAAACGGCTGAGCTGCCGCGGTGCAGCCAAGCAGCAAACAAGCTAATAGACCCCGGGGCCCATCCAAACCTGGAGAGCAGGGGCCCTTCTGTGGGTGAGGGACGCTCCCCTGGCCTGCGCGCCGAGCCTGCCTACCGGTTTCCGGGTCACACTGGTGTTCACACGGGTCCAGCAGCCGTCGGGCGCAGAGGTCCAGGGCCCAGGGCCCGCTGGAGTTCTGCTGGGAGAACAGGACGACCTGGGCGGGGTTTAGCCAGTCGCTGGCGTCCAGCTGGCTGCCCTCCAGCAGGATAAAGCGGCTCCCTGCAAGAGAAACGCAGGTTGGGAAGGTGGCACACA